ATGCCTGGACAAAATCTATAAATTTATGTGCAATAGTAACTACATATGGCATTTCATTTCAGGATAAAAATTCTTTTGCTAAACTGAAGAATATTCCTAGGGGGCGTTGGAGTCGTTCCTAACACATGTGAGGCACTGGGTTTGATCCTTAGCACCACATAAAAATAAATAAATAAAATAAAAGTATTGTGTCCATCTACATCTAAAAAAATTTTTTACGAAAGAATATTCCTAGGTTGGCTTATTCTTAATTGTGAGCAGTAATTTTCTAAAATTCAACTTCCTATTTGATAAATGAATAAAATAAACTACTTTTTTCATATTTTCAGTAGATGTTTAAAAATGAAGCAAACAAAATGTAATTAAAATGTATTCAATGAAATATGGTAATTTTCACATTTTATTTCTTTTAATACTGTTTCTTAAATATATTCAGCCTCTACATTTTCCTTGCATCGTCTGGCAAGTCTGTGTCTCAGATCTTGTTTATTATTCCTTTTTTTCTTTAAACAGTTGACATGGCATCTTATGCCTGTCCGGCAGAGGGAGGGGGCATGTGCCAACTGGGTTGTGTTTGAGAGGACTGTGGGTTTTCTGATGGAGAATGTTGGCTGCCTCATTGATTGCACCAATAAAAGCTAGGTTACTCTACAAATGTTCCAGTGGGGGAGAGTAATGAAGGTATTATCCAGCCAACAAATAATACTCTACTTCTTCCTCCTAACAGAGATGAGAGAACAAAAGTCTGTTATAGGGTGCAGTGGCACACCTGCAATCCCAGTGACTCAGGAGGCTGAGGCAGGAGGACTACAAGTTTGAGGCCAGCCTCAGTAACTTAGTGAGGCCCTCAGCAACTTAGCAAGACTGTCTCTCAAAATTAAAAAATCAAAAGGCCTGGGGATGTAGCTTAGTGGTAAAGTGCCCCTGGTTCAATATCAGTACCTCTTCACCCCCACAAAAAAATTATTATGACTAATTTTACCCTAAACAAATAGTTTATACAGAACCAAAGTGACCTACTCACAGTTCTCTACCACATTCTTCTTCTCTAACTCATGGATTGTGTGGTAATAGCATTTTGCATCATCCCAAGATGGTCTGACTTCCTTCTTAGGAACTGCCAAAGTTCCTTGCCCCTGCTCCATGGCTTCCCAGAGAGAAATCTGGTCTGTCTGGTTCTCAGGTCTAACAGTGTCTGGCACATAGGATATACTTAATAAACATGAGTGCATGAGTTGTTTGAAACCTAAAGCAGGGTTCTTATCTTCTGTGTCTCTTTTCCTCATCTATGAAAAAGTCTAAGGTTTATAGTGACGACTGCATGAGTCAAGGGTCCCACATTCCTCCAATCTGATTGCGATTTCCTAAAGCCAAGAATTAGGTAATATTTCTCTATCTCAATGTTAGTGCCTAGCTGTGCTTTTTTTTCTTAAATTATTTAACGAATACTTTGCATCAGGCCCTCTTCTAAAAATTTTATCATTAGGCAGTGTGGTGCACACCTGTAATCTCAGCTATTTGGCAGGCTGAGGCAGGAGGGTCACATTATCAAAGCCAATCTGGGATATTTAGTAAGCAGCTGTCTCAAAATAAAAATAGGCTGGGGGATGTAACTTAGTGGTAGAGCACCCCTGGTTCAGGCCCCAGTACCTAAAAAAAAAAAAATACTTCACACACTGTGCCTTACTATACTGCCTCACCTTACCAATGGTTGTTGAACAATGAAAACGAAATTTGGCATCTAAAGAGAAAATTGGAAGGGTAGAGTATTTATATAAAAGAAATCCAAATGATTATTATTTTTCCTGCTATTCCATAGTTGATATAGGACAAATGTTGTCACTGTATAAATGTAATGATAAAACCTAGGCTGATTTGAATACTTGAAAAGGATTTTGCTTCTTGGCTAAAAATAAATAAAACTATCGAATTGGTGAGTCACTTTAAGTACTCAAAAATAATTTCAATTTCCGTATGTGACTTAAGTCCTCAGTAGTAAATTATACAAACTTAAAATTAGGTGGGTGGTACTTAGGAGTGGGGGCAGGAGGTTTGCAAGTTTGAGGCCAGCCTTAGCAACTTGGCAAGACCCTGTCTCGAGATTTTAAAAATAAATAAATAAAAAGGTCTGAGGACATAACTTAGTGATATAGCATTCCCGGGTTCAGTCCCTTCCCAGTAATGAAAAAAAAGTTCAAAATTTAGTTATTTTGCTAGACAATTATATTAAGTTTGCTAGAATTGCTGTAACAAAGTACCACAAACTGTATGGCTTAAATAACAAGAATTTATTGTTTCACAGTTATGGAGGTTGGAAGTCCAAGATCATGGTGTCAGTAAAGTTGGCTGTGAGGGAAGGATCTATTCCAGGCCACTGTGGATGACCAATCTGTGTTTTCACCCATTTTTCCTGTGTGTGGGTCTCTCTCTGTTTCCAAATTTCCCTCTTTTTATTTTTCATAGTACTGGGGATTGAACCCAGGGATGCTGTACTTTAGAGTTATATCCCAGCCCTTTTTATGTTATTTTAAAATTTTAAGTTGCCCAGACTGGCCTTGAACTTGTGATCCTCCTGTCTCAGCCTCTTGAGAAGCTGGGATTATAGGTGTGTGCTACCACTCTTGGCCTCCCCCTTTTTTTTTATAAGGACATTAATCATACTAGGAAGTAATTTTAATAAGATCACATTCTGAGAAAGTGGGCATCAGGACTCCAATATATTCTCTTCTTTGGGGGAGGGTGTACAATTGTACCCATAATAACAGAAGACATGGGGGAGGGTAAGATTCTGGGTCTGAATTCTAGCTCTTCTTTTATTAACTGTAAGACCTTGCTGTTTCTTATTTCCTTCCTTTAAATGAAGATAAGATAGGTAGTATCTTCCTCATGCTGTTATGAGGATTAAATTAATTTGTCCAGGTAACACTTAGAATTCTTAGTGACAGAATACATGTGAAATATTCATTCTTTTTAAAAAGAGTCATCAAATATCTACCATGATCCAGGTATTGTTTGAGCTGTTTGAAATACAGAAGCAAAGAAAATAGACAAAAATATCTACCTTCATGCAGCTTTTAAACTGGTAGAGAAAGAAAGACAATAAAAAAGAACACTTAGAATATCAGCCAATGGAAGTGCTGTGGAGAAAAATCCAGCAAGATACGATCTAGAGACTATTGGGTGTTGCAATTTGGGATTAGGGGTACAATTTGAGCAAAAAAAAAAAAAAAAAAAAACATAATGGGAGGAGACAGTTAAGTAGTTTTCTGCAGAAAGTTTTCTTGTTTTAGATAGAGGAGGGTTTCTGCACCTCCACACTCTTTTTAAAAAATATTTTTAGTTATAGATGGACATAATACTTTTATTTTATTTGTTTTTTAAATATGGTGCTGAGGATCAAACTCAGCGCCTCATTTGTGCTAGGCAAGTGCTCTACCACTGAGCCACAACCCAAGCCCACCTCAACACTCTTGATGTTTGGGCCTGGATAATTCTTTGTTGTGGGGCTGCCTTGTGCATTGTAGGCTGTTTAACAGTATTTTTGGTCTCTATACACTAGATGTTAGCAGTCTTCCTTTCTGCGTCCCCCAGCTGTGACAGTCTGATCACAAAATGTCTCTGGACATCACCACATAGAGGGCAAATCAAATTACTCCTAGTTGAGAACCAGTAAGAGAGAAGAAAAGTTAAAGTCCAGAGACTGGAGCTTGTTAGAGGCAAAGCAAGGAGGCAGGCAGTAGGGAGGTGGGGGAATCAGAAAGGGGAGGGATGAAGCACCTCACCTGTGACCTGGAGACCACTCTTTAGACAAATGGGAAACCACTGGGGGTTATAAACAAAATCACAATGTGACCTGTATTAAAAAAAAAAATCTCTCTGCCTGCCTGATTGAGAATTAACTATAGGTTAAAAGACAGAAATGGACAGCAGGATTGAGAGATTATCATAATAATGCCATTGATTTTCTATATAGTTTAATTTTTTCATTGATTTTCCTGGTTGTCGATGGGGGCAGCTAAGAAAGCTTAACTAAGATGCCCTGGGGAAAAAAAGGCAGTATGGTAATTAAGCCAATTTGAAAGCAAAGGGTTTTATAGGACAAAGAGGGAATATGTTGGGGGCAGTTTGTGCACAGAGCCTTGAATACTGAGAAATTGGAGCTCTAGTCTGTCAGTAACAGGGAGTCTTTGAGCTTGTGCAATGGGAAACTCAGCATCAGTGTGCAGAATAGAAGTCAGAATAATTTCAAAAGGTATATCCTAAATAATATGGGTGAGAGACCCCAAGAGCTGAGATGTGGGTAGAATAAGAATATGGCACCACACCATGAAGGAAGCAAAGGCGGTCCTAAGGTTTAGACCTTACAATCTTTTTATTCTTCAGGGTAATTGTGTTTGTAAGAGGTGCAGACTTTTGTTTCCACTGAGAGGGTTTGTAATCATTTCCAGGATATCCGATATCAAGCCAAAGCAAGCCCACCAAGAGGTTTCAGAAGTGTAGTACTTGGGAAAGGGATGCTTTAGAGGAGAGTGTGTTAGCTTTCACCAAAGGTCTTTTCAAGCAGACTAGCAATTGTAGGTGAGAAAACTGTGCCGAATCCTGGCACAGGGAGAGAACAGGCCTGCATCCAGAGTTCTTTCAGGATGGTCTTACATTTCCATCTTTAAATTAAAAATACCTTAGCAGGTTTAGCAGGGCGGTGTAGGTACACCAAACCAGTCCCATTAAGTCACAGGCAGGCTCAACAAGGACCTCTGCCTCCTTTAGGTCTTTTTGTACTACCGGATTTCAGAAATAAACCCACAAAAGACACAAAATACGCCTCCTTTCCCTCACTCGTTTTATGCCCAGTTGGTTTAAGGCTGTAACAGCTGGGTTCCACCGGGAGAGATGCTGGCCTGGCGTGTCCAGGGCGTGGCGCTTGCGGTCGAGAGCCGGGCGGGGGGAGGGAGAGGGGCCGTACCGGCCGGGCGGGGCGAGCAGGGCACGCGCCCGGAGACGCGTTTACGCGCAGCGGTTCCCCGCCCGCCGCCGCCCCCGCCCCAGTCTGCTTGGTTCTGCGTCCACCCGGCACTCGGAGCAACCCCGGTGGCTGCGCGACAGTCCCCGCCATGTCTGCAGCCATGAGGGAGAGGTTCGACCGGTTCTTGCATGAGAAGAATTGCATGACCGACCTCCTAGCCAAGTTGGAGGCCAAGACCGGCGTAAACCGGAGCTTCATAGCGCTCGGTGGGTGGTTGGGCCCTCCGAGGGTCGCTGCTTCTGGCCTGGCACTGAACTCGCCCTGCACCAGCTGCTGGGAAAAGACGCGGGGCGAGTGCTCCTCAAAGGCAGACGGGGCGAGCAGCATCCTTGGGGACTGAGCTGGTCTAGAAAGCACTGGGCAGCTCGGGCTGCGGGGTCGTGGGCCTTTGCCTGCGGACCAGGTAGCGGGGCAGGAAGGGTGGCGTCTGTTCCCGGGGAGCGGGAAAGGGCCAGCGCTGACGTGTCTGTCCCCGCGGCTGGGCGAGTGTCTCGGTGGACCTGCGCGGGTTTCGCGCCGAGCGCCGGGGCCCTGCGAGCTGGCTCGTTATCGGAAGTAAATGGTAGTGTCCAGACCTTAACCAGAGCTCCGCGGTAGGGGCAGTCTCCGGTTTGGGAGGGCGGGACCGCGAGCAGGTGAGGGAATCCCAGTCTCTCGACCCTCCGCAGAGCGAGCTTCTCGCTGCTGCGCAGCGCGGCGGAGCTCCAGCAGGACGGCCGGCGGGGTGCTTCCCCAGGCCCTCTCGGGCCCCCGGGGTGGGTACGCGGAGAGGCAGGAACACCCCGAGGGAGGGAGGAAAGGCTCGGAGGTGGGGGTTGCCCGGGATCCCTAGAACCGAGGCAGCGCCCCACGGAGGCGCAGGCCCAACCTTCGTGTGGTTTGTTTTTCTTGTTTAATCGAGTGTGGAGCCAAACACCTAGAATAGGCCAAGTCCCGTGGTTTGGACAGGGGCTGCCCCGCTTGAATGCGCCTCTTGCCATCCGACCCACTTTTCTTATCGTATGTCTCCCTCAAGGTGTCATCGGGCTAGTGGCCTTGTACCTGGTGTTCGGTTATGGAGCCTCTCTCCTCTGCAACCTGATAGGATTTGGCTACCCAGCTTATGTCTCGTAAGTGGCTCACCCTTGCAAACATCCCTTCCTGTCCACTTCCCTCTCTCCATTTAAGACTGCTGTAGTAGAATACCTATGTATTTCTGTCTGTCTATCCCCATTTTCCAAGAGAGCAGTAAAAAAGTGCCAGAGGTAGTACCTACTGCTTAAGGTTACACATTTTGGAGCCTTAACTCGGTTCTTGATCAGGCGACTATAGGAAAGGTATTTTTTCATCAAGTTATATTGGGAGGGTGTATACACTCTCATGCATGTACAAATGGGTGTGTTAGATCTCAGACATCCTACTTTTTCTAATGGGGAGATCGAAACAGGTATAGGGAACTGATTGCTTTTCCCCAACAATCGTTTTCATGAACATTTCACCACATGTCTATGTAAATAGACTGCAAAACCCATCAGTTAGGACTTTCTTCATAGAGAATTATTATTGAGACAAGAGGGAGAATTTTAACTTTTTGATTTTATAAAAGGCCAGTATTACCAGTAAACTTGGGAAATGCTTAATCTAACAAACCTTATAAAATGCATCCATAATGTAACTCCTTGATTGTATAAATGACTCATTTTTGTAATTAAACTAAATTAAAAATTAATCTTATAAGGTTGGGAACTAATGAGGTTTTTATTTTATAATGTGTTTATTTTGAAAATGCTCTACATTTCATTATCGCCACTTATTCAAATAGGAATTATTCCTCTCCACAAATGCATTTTGTTTTATTCTGTAAGAAAGCTGGTTGGCTTTTATCTTCATTCAGCTGATTTCTGGACTTTTCCCTATCTGTAGGGATAAAAGTAAAGAGAAAAAATTTTCAGCTGAGAAGCTGAGATAGATAACACATTATTATACATTGTGTCTATTGTTGGTCAGGCTAGAATTTAATATATGACTAGAAGGGAGGAAACATTTTAGAAATAGGTCTGATTTGAACTAATAAACTGCAGTTGGGTAAGTAGTTGTTAGTGTATTAGACTGGTATAGACAATTGGTCATATAATAGAAACTCTTACTTTCAGGACACTGCTTGCTGGTAAAACTAGAGATCCTTAATTTTTAAATTGAGAAGAGCTTTTATCCTCTCCAGCATTATCTACTAATGCACAAACCAGGTTTTCCACATATACTAAGAGTTCCTGAAATCAGATAAGGAAAACTGGTTTTGCTTTCAATTAGGTAAAAGATACAATAATAACAATTTTCCTTAAAAGTTAATCTACTGTCAGGTGGTGTATTGAAAGTGTGTAGGCAACTGATTCAAAATGGCTTGCACGTTGCTATGACTGTAACAGACAAAATAATCCTGTAGTGTACTCCTTTACCACCTTCTTTTTGTTTGTGCTACTTGTAGTTCTTCTGGTTTTATTTTTTGGTACTGGGGATTGAACTCGGTAGCACTCTACCACTGAGTTACATCCCCAGCCCTTTTTATTTTGAGACAGGGTCTCACTAAGTTGCTTAGAACCTTGCTAAATTGCTGAGGCTGTCCTGGAATTTTATCCTCTTGCCTCAGCCTCCTGAGTTGCTGGAATTATAGGCTTCAGCCATCAAGCCTGACTTCTACTTGCAGTTCTTTTAAAAAAGATTTGAAGCATTGTCAGGTGTGTGCTTTAGATGTTATGGATCACATGTGGAACAAATCTTGAGTGGCAGTTTAATAACTACCTTTTTGTTTGATATTCAATGAGCAAAGAATGTGAACTTTTAAAAATACTAAATAACATAATAAATTTTTTTCCCTATATCAGTGCCATTTGGTACCTAATTATGTGAGAAACATTAGTTTCTCTTTTGGTGTGATTAGTTTATCTGTGTGAGCTGTAGAAAAATCAAAAATCTCTTTCTATATGGGACAAGTATATTTGTGGATGTGTGGAAGTTGATGTGACTGAAAATGTGGACAGAACTTGAATGTGTTTTTCTGTGGAAGTGAATTAATTCTAGCAGGGGCTATCTTCAGGCATATTTCAAAGTGTTTTTAAGTCAGCCAATTTCTGCTTCATAATTTCTAGTAATTTCTTAATTTTTTACAGAATCCATTCCATATTGTTGGCTCTTTTTACTTAGAAGAAGCTAAATGTTTTTGTCTTTTGCTAGAAATTTGTGAAATAGTAGAACTACTCATATTTCTGAGTAATGCAGGAAGGTAAATTTTACATATTTTAGAATTCTACTAACCTAGTGTATGCACTTTATTTTCTTTTCAATTTGAGTATTCTGAGACAAAATTATGTTTCTATTACATCTTAATAGGAATTGGAGAAATATTAAAAATCTGAGTGCAGTGGCGCAGGCTCATAATCCCAAGGACTTGGGAGGCTATGGCAGGAAGATCACAAGTTCTAAGCCAGCCTCAGCAACTTAGTGAGACCCTGTCTCAAAATTTAAAAAATGCTGGGGTTGTGGCTCAATGACAGTGTCCCTGGGTTCAGTACTCAGTATTGGGGGGGGGGGAACGTAGTAAATGGAACTTAGTAATTTAAGCAAATTCAGGAAAAAAAATATTTTTTAAGAGAGAATTTTTTTTAAAATATTTATTTTTTAGTTTTCGGTGGACACAACATCTTTATTTATTTATTTTTATGTGGTGCTGAGGATCGAATCCAGTGCCCCGCGCATGCCAGGTGAGTGCGTTACCACTTGAGCCACATCCCCAGCCCAGGAAATTATATTTAATGAGTATTTTTTGATTGTTATTCATGAATGCCTAAATCATAACCCCTATAGATTCTTGTATCATTGGTCTGAGGTATGTCCTAAGTTTTGGGGGTTTTAAAAGTTCCTCAAGCTTTTATAATTTTTAAAGCATTCTAATATTCAGTCAGTGTTGAGAGCCCCTGGTATACAATGGTGGTAATAACCTGTGCTTTTTGCCTGTGAAGAGGAATGGCTTACTGACCCTGTGAATAATCCAGAAGCCTACCTGGGATTCTTTTGTGCAGGAAACTCAAGGAAAACTGGGAGTGTATGCACAATGAGAGTACTCCTAGTTAGTAAATTTTCAGGCTGTTAGAATCATTATAAGTAGCTCTATTCGTTGCTTGTTGCTTAATCAGTGTGATTGTATAATTGTCCAGAAGAAAGAAAGTCCTTGAAAATGGTGGTTTCTAGTAGCACTCAAATCATTGATGCTTAAAACATGACCTGTAATCACTTTCTTAGTCTAGTTGGGCTACTCTAACAAAATACCTTAGTTTGGGTGACTTTAAAAAAAAATTTTTTTTTTTTTTAGTTATAGATGGGTACAATACTTTTATTTTATTTATTTATTTATTTTTATGTGGTGCTGAGGATCAAATCCAGTGCTTCACATGTACTAGGCATATGCTTTACCTCTGAGTTACACCCCAGCCCCAATCTGGGTAATTTTTAAACAACCGAAATTATTTGCTCACTATTCTGTAGGCTGGGAAGTCAAGACCCATGCTCCAGCTGATTTGGTATCTGTTGAGGGCTTGTTTCCTGTTTCAAAGATGACACTTTCTTGCTGCATGGCAGAAGTGGCAAATAGTTCCTTTTATAATGGCACTAATCTCATGAGGGCTCAGCCCTCATAACTTAATCACCTCCTAACAGGCCCATTTCTTCATATGAAATCATTGGGTGTTGGATTCCGACATATGAATTGAGAGAGAAAACAACATTCAGACCTTAGCAGTTATTTTTACTCTAATTATATTCTCCGTGCTTTTCATAATTCCCATTATGCTGCCCAGCCAGTTATTTTTGTTCTTTTTTCATTTTAATTTTTTGATGCTAGGAATTGAATCCAGGAGTGCTTTACCACTAGCTACATCCCCAGTCCTTTTTATTTTTTTGAGACAGGGTCTTACTAAGTTGCTGAGGGTCTCACTAAATTGCTGAGGCTGTCCTTGAACTTGTGATCCTCCTGCCTGAGCCTCCTGAGTTGCTGGGATTACAGGCATGTGCCACTGTACCCAGTTATTTTAAAAAATACAGTTTATTTATTTAACAAATATCAAATGCCAGCACCGTAGTAATAGCACTTCAGATGTGGCAGGGAGTGTGCTTTCTCTCTCTCTCTCTCTCTCTCTCTCTCTCCTTCTTTTTGGGTGGTGGTGGGGATTGAACTCAAATTTTTGTATATGTGAGGCAAGTGCTCTTCTACTGAGCCACAGGTTCCCAGCCTCTGTCTTGAATAATCTGCTTGGATAAATAGTGACAATGTGGTAAGCCCCTCAAAGAAAATGAATAGGGAGCTTTGTGGTAGAGGATGACAGGAAGACTCTCTTTGGATATTTATGTGAGGTACTGTTTGAGTTGTAAAGGGGCCAGCTAAGGGGAGAGCCAGGCAGAGGAAGTGAAGTGGGCCAGACCCTGAGGCAGCAGGTCTATGACTGGGAAGAGTGGTGAGGGAGGTGCCACGGAGATATAGGTGTATCAGTAGGGAGGGCTGGGACAGAGAACCAGGTGTAGCACATTTCATTCCAGATGGTTGTACGGAGTTTGCATTCTTCTTGATTGTCCCAGATGGGTATTAAGTAGGAGGAAATGTGACATGATTTACATTTTAGGTAAGGTAAAATGTAAGTGACTGTTATAATTTCTGGAAGGAGTTGGTAATCCTGTCAAACTAATTTTTTTTTTTTTAAGTGCAAGGGATTGAACCCAGAGCTTCATGCATGTTAGGCATGTTGGGGGCGTATCACTGAGCTACTCCCCCATCCCTATCCTGTTAAATTCTTGCCAGAAGTGTATTTCCTTCTTTCCTTACCTTTCATCTTTTATTCTTGCTGTTTCTTCTCTTTGGACCATCATAGGGAGCAGTACACAGATTGTAATGTACAATGGTTGATACTGGGCCCAGAGCCTGCAGAAATGAAATTCAGAAAAGCTGATTTGACTTCCTAACTTCTCATCACTCACCCTCATGGGAAATGCATGGGTGAGAGTCAGGTATACCCGGCTCCAGGGCAGTCCTCACTCAATATTGGAGCAGGTAGACAGTTAAAGACTTGTTCAGTGATCACTGGGG